TTAATATATGTGTACCTTCCCGTTTGGCTAGGAATCACTCTACTTTCTATGTCAATGCCATCTGCAGATATTCATTCTTGTCGCGCATGCAAACACTGTTCAATCGCTTTGACAATCCAAGCATTGAAATATTCAGCGACTTTTCTGTTTGCCGCAAGCAGTTGCAAGGGATCGCTACCTACCTGTGGTATGTGTTTTATTTGTTCTGTGTTAATTTGGCGCTTACTCGTTCTTTGTGCACCAATGTGAAGACCTTCAAGTTGTTTTTGGGCACACGAAAATACGATATTATTATTATTATTATTATTATTATTATCAGCATGTACGCAGGAAATACCGTATCTTTTTTGTAAAGTACGAGCTGTTTGACCGTGGTCTTACTCCCCCCTTCCCCTCCTCCCCCTAAAACGTTTTTGTGCTTATTTTTGTTTGATTTTGCATCTTGTGACATTGTGTCCCAATGAAGGATGCGACGTGTGAACGCGACATAACGTCCTTCACATATAGACCGCTTTTTTATTGCCGTGACGTAACAGAATGACGTAACGTAATGTAGCAACAACCCTCGATACATTACGCGGAGCCAGTAAAAGCAACACATTATCTGCACACAATACGGAAAGGTAGCCGTCTGCAACTCAAAGACTCGGTGAACGCGTTTCCGCCTTCGTGTCTTTCACCTGGCGACGTCGCTTTGTTTTCTTCTCGCTGTCACAAGGAGGATGAAATACGTTGCTCACAGCTGGGACAGTTGAACCCTCGGTATGAGTTGGCGTCCTCTTCCGACACAGTTTAAATGCCGCACATTAACTTTTGAGGTGAAATATTTTAAGGCGCGAAGCTGTAAATTATATCCGATTATTTATTTTCACTAGTCAAGCGTCGAGCCTTGTATAAAATATTGTTTTTTTTAGCGTCACGTGGAGCCTGTGACTCTGACTGCCAAACAAAGGTATTTCTTTGTATGTCATAAGACACACGGGAAAGGCTAATCCTATTCATGGGCACAAAAATGTGGAAGTTCCTCTCTAACAATCTTCGATGTTCAGATAATTTAGCGCAGATCTAAAACACTATCTTTTGCTTTCTGAAGTCACCTCCACCTTCATAACCATTTTCTAGGTTTAATGGCATCAGTGTGGCTCCTATGACTACATGAGTATTGCATATATATAGAGAGAGAGATTTTGGTTTGTAGTATTTCTATCTAGTTTCTTAACAACCTGCGCTGCTCACTGTATACGCCTCAGATACCTTAAGTTAATGAACCCAAACAAGTCAACTGGCTATGGATCCATCTGGTTTTCTAGTAACATATATATGCGTTAGTACTACTAGAACGAATTTACTTGAATTGAAGCATGAACATGCGGATTGCCCACAGTGAGAGCGAGAGAAAGAGAGAGAGAGAGAGAAATTATACTGTACGGCTGCTCCTAATTCGTAAGTGCGGGACCTGGAACGAGTTTCCGACTCGTCTGTTTATCATCCCATCTACCCCCCGCATTTAAAGCGATCCCCAAGTGGCAAAATATGACGTCACGGCAACCGGAGTGTCACGTTGTTGGATGTCCCGACCCTGGCGGTTGGTCGTGGAGGTTTCGACAGGAAGTACGAGCGAATGCGAGTGTCGCTCTCGTCACGGCGTCCCAACTCCTAGCCACCGAAGCTTCAGTGGACTGTGAAGCTGGATATAGACCTGCAGTAGAACAGGCATCTGCCGCATCTGTATACCCCCGTTGCATTGCCAAACACCAGGTTCGCGGCAGGCAAAAAAGTCCGCGGTTTTGTGACGTCACTGAAAGAAACTCAAGGACAACTTCTGGGGACGTAATTAACGCACAAGTCGAAGACGCGTCCTTAGGTACCATATTCGAAACTTAAAAAGGAATAAGGTAAAGGGTCGTAATTATACAAGAGGGGCAAAGAGATGAAGGATGTGACGGAGTCAGAGCGGCAGGAACAAAAACTGGATAGCGGAAAGCCTGAACGTAAGCCGAGCACCACGCCCTGCGTTCCGTAAGCATATGCGGAGCGAAGTTCGTCTGCTTTTTTACCCAGGGGTTGCGGTGACGTCACACAACCGAGCTCCGATTGGCTATTATCGAATGATACTGGGTAGAACCAACACCTCCTAGATAGCTTTCAAGCCTGCGCGTCACGTGACATGACGTCACGTCCGGGAGGCCGGCACGGGCGCTGATTGGCTGCGAGTGCAAACGAGCCCCACGGCGACCGCCGACGCGGCGCTCGCATCCAATGAGCGCCCCTGCAGGCCTTCGGGACGTGACGTCATGTCACGTGACGCGCAGGCTTGAAAGCTATCTAGGAGGTGTTGGTAGAACTCGAGGCAGCTAGCATTGACGTCTACCCACTATCCTTCCAACCAGAGCCAATCAAAGCTCGGCGTTTTGACGTCACTGTAACCCCTGCGCAAGAAACAGACGAACTTGCGCTCCGAATAGTCCCCTGTATTTTATAAAGTCAGAAATAACGTTGTTTAGCGCCCTTTTGGGCCTTCTTTTGGCCGAAGACCCGGTAGTCTTGTCAAGCGTAAGGAACGCGCTTGCCAACTCTCTCTGGATGAGTTCTTGTTCGGTGCCTTTCGGTGCTCCAGTGGGAAAACAAACTTAAATTCAGGCAGCGGGTTCGTGCATACCGCATCTGTAAAGTGGTTGGCGTCATCGTGTTACTAAATAACTTATTGTTTGATAGCTACTCGTCTGTACAATACTTTCCAATTAGAATCTTTATTGTATTTACTATCCTGCACATTTCGAAACGGAAAAACAAAATCCCACTCAACAATATTGCCTTTTTTCTTTTAACATTAATTGAAGATTACATTTTTAATGCTACTGGTGCCTCACTGAAAAATACTTTAGCCTAAAAGAAAGTGCGGAACTTGTAATGCGTTGGAAAGCCGACCGGCAATTTAAAACATGTTAAATAAAATAGGAGAGGACCCTCAAAACATCTTCAACTCCTCTTGGAGGTCCTGTGGCCGAGCGTATTAGCGCACGGCAGCTCGGAGCACTTGGAGCGAAACACCACGCTGCAGATATGCCAAGAAATCCTAGGTTCAACCTCTACCCCTTCCCGTCTCCATCTGGTTGGGCACCGTATATCGTGATGCGTTGGTATAAACAGTGCTGCTTGATGAACATCAGAAACCCCAGGCTAGCGGTAGTACTAGCTGCACCTGGCTATAATATCCCATCTACGATTGAGACGCCAGACGCCCATTGGAGCTGACTAACTTCCCGCCGTCTAGATATTCACACAACAAATTGCCGCAACGTTGTTGCTTTTGTAGAATAGCAGCGTATCCACTGGTGCCATAAACAGCTCGAAAGGAATCTCGCGAGCGTGCGGCAGAAAGTGTTAGCTGTCTGGTAAGTGATATGTGGCTCTCACTTCTAAACAACAAATTCCCATCTTAATGTTCGAGGACAAAGTGTATTGCATTCGCACCTGATCTGACAAACCCGAGCAAGTTATTGCAAAAAAAAAAAAAAAGAAAAGAAAAGGTTTTAGGCTGCGGGAGCGTGCGCTTACGACCTAAATTTTATTACATGCTTTCCAACCTCAATCTCACATAAAGAAAAAAAAATTAAGAACAACTTGTTGTTTGAAGCTTGTGTCAACGATTATTAGTTGTATTAACCGATATATAAAAACATTACGAACGTTTTTTTGTTTTTTTTATGACATTTGAAATACTATTTTTTTTTTTTTTTTAGTTCGGGTACCAATGCATGTCTCCAAAAAAACATATAAGGCGTGTACCTATAGTAGCTGCAGTTCGTTGATATGCCGAGTGAAGCCGGTACGTTATTTCAACCGTATGACTAGTCATGTATGAATAATAATAATAATAATAATAATAATAATAAGTATAAATGCTGGAGTTGTTTTTCTACTTAACATGTGGAACGCGAATGTAACGCTAAATTAATGCCCGCTACGCAGAGAAAGCAACAAGAACGCGAACGCGTGACAGTTTTAATGGACAAGAGGAACTCCGTAACGCGTCCGGTTTCTAAAGTATTATGGTAGCCGATATGCTTAACTTATTTTCTCCTAATGAAAAAAAAAAAGTAGTTTTATAAGATAATATGGATGTTCGCTGCGTTCTTGCGAAAACACCACGCTGGCATGTGGAACTATAGGGAAATTTTCATATTCATTGCGTAGCGGCGAAAGCACCCGACTGGGGGACTAAGTACACGAAAGCCAAATATTAGAACAGATGATGCATCCGTCACACCAAATTTCGGCACCACGGGGGCAAGATTGCTGGGTCACAGCATTCAACAGCAGATCATTACGACGAGGCGGTATTAACGAGAGTCATGTTTCATTAATACGGAAACCTCCGATTTCCCCCCCCCCCCCCCCCCTTGAAAAAAAAAAAAAAAAAAAAGAGAAGTCCACAACGTGCGTTTTTCGTAGCAATGACCAAAGATGTCCAGCTCGTTTCGAAACCACTTGTCTACATATCACGGTATCGATATTAACGATAACCGACTGGATTAACGAGACAAGAAGGCATTTACCGAGTTCGTCCCCGAAAATATTGTCTACACAGCGAGATGCCACATTAACAGTGTCAACGAGCATGCGTGTAATAACGAGACGAAAATTCACGTGTTTATCCAGCTCGTCCCCCCCCCCCCCCCCCCCCAAAAAAAAAAAAAAAGGAGGATTATTTTTCTACTGGATGTCCATATTATTGGTGTCAGCGTATAGGTTAAAGAGCTTTAGTAGACCGTTCCGATACCTCCGATAACAATACCCGATGCACCGCCGACGTTTTTGCGCATGCATCGAATCGGTATCGGGGAACTCAACTATTCGGAACGATCTACTAAAACTCCCTATTAACGAGGCATGACTCTGTGACCACCGACGTTAAATGCTTGCACGCGCACACAGATACAAACACGGAAAACAGAGGCACGGACAAGTGTCGAATGATGTCGCGACGATGGCCTCACCTGCTCCTAGGAAATCGGTCCCCGCTGCCGACGCTCGAGCACGTCGTCGCCGCAGTCTCCGAATCAGCACGCATGAACGAGTCGATGAGGACCGGTAGCCTAAACGTCGTCAGCCGTGTCCGCCCACAAAGTGGGCAGACGCACGCGATGCCGGACACCAGGAGCACCGAACTGAGCCCGGTGCCAACAAAGAGCGACACATCGGAGGGAAGCGACCAGCGGCACACCGACACAACTCCGCGACCTGGCCGGAATCGGCCTGGTTTTTTTCCCGCAGCTTCTTCGCTGAACCGAGAGCAGCGAGCACGTCTTGTCCGACGCCGCCGCCGCCGCAGACGGGACGATACCCTCGCCCTTTAACCCTCCCTCTCCCCTTCCTTCTCTCCCTCAACTTCGCCCGCCGTTGTATGATCTTCCGCTTCTTACGTGAGAGAGAAGAGGGCTGGAATACGTCCTCTCTCCTCCAGGAAAGAGTCCCAAGAACCGGATTATTGTTGTGTGTGTACGTGAACGTTTAAAAAATGCGCCGTAATTCTTGTGTTTGTTTCGAGGGGCGATGGAGGTCGGACTTGGATGAGGGGGAAGCTAGGTGAGACAGACGAAAGGGAAGGCGGAAGAGAGAGAGGAGGACGGCGGGGTGCTCGCCGCTTTTCTTGGCTCTTGAGCACCTCCCTAATTGTGCATATTATCTCTTCTTTTCCAGGCACACACACTTTCTTTTTCTCAGTGTGCAGTAGCAGTAGCAGCTGTTAAAAAACTTGATGCGGTTGTTGCCTCGTTGTCGGTTTTCCCCCCCACGGCTACCCGTTGGCAAGCTGATACGACGGATGGGGCTTTCGGGAGTTTTTGTCCCGAGTGTATGACCGGTCATCGCAGCCGGACGGTGGTGTGTGATCGTTGTCGTGACCGATTAGCTAAATTTAGAAATTAGTTCGCCAAATATAGAGGAATCCTACTGAAATTGAGCGATGATCGTGATAATGACGATAACTAATCTTGCGGGCGAATTTCCCCGTTAAGTTTAGTCCGAGAACGCTTCCCGCTAACTTCGGCATCATCATCACATCATCGTCATCGCTAAATTTCTCAAAAAGCGGCTCCCCACTAGATTTTTAAAGGAAGTTTATCGTCATCATTATCATCACCATCCTAATTTACCGGACAAATTTACCATCGCAATCGCTAAATTTAGTGGGAAGTGTTTCCCCGCTAAATTTAGCGGGAAAGTTAATTATCATCATTTAGCGAGCAAATTCATAATCATGATAATCCTCATCATCATCACGATCATAATAGCTAAACTTAGCGAGAAGCGTTTTCGCAGCTAAATCTAGCGACAGTCCTCCTTGCCGAACCACTTCATTCGGAGTATAAGCAAGAAGCCTATTAATATTTCGACACTGAATGGGTTTCATCAGTCATATCTTTGCATACAAACATCATGAAAGACCAAGCCGTCAATTTCTCCGCTAAATTTTGCGGGGAAATTGATGCCTCGCGACCAAGTCATGTGACCTGTGAGTCCCGTCCGTCTTCGCTCTTTCTCCACTCCGAATACCAAGTAGAAAAAAAAAATGTCAGTTGAGATATTAAACAGTGCGCGTCCTCACCCGTCCTGTCGGTGCTAGTCTCGCTCAGTGAGTAACGTATTTCGCGGAGGGAATTCTCGCTGCTTTTGATTGCGAGCGTAACGACTGCTGGCGCGGGTGTGTGAGTGTGTGTGTGTGCTTCTTTGTTGTGTTTGTAGAGTCATGTGTCTGACGAAATAGAAAAAAAATATATATATATATATATGACTAATGTTGGGTGAGGTGGCATAGCGCCCATTGTGAGGTCTGAAGAGGGCTTGAAATTTATTCCGTGAATCAATCAACAGAACATTGCTGCAGCTAACGAGCACTCTCAAAAGGCAAATGAGTTTATCATTCCTTCGTGTTTATTCGATGAGATGAAGAACTTGATTCCATATTTAGAAAGCGGACGTTTGGAAACACTTCTGAGGATATGAAGTGAAGTATGACGACTTGGATGGAAAAACAAAACAAATATGTGTTACAATAAAATGCGCGAGTCGTTTTAAGCAACGGGCATATTGGACGAGCTTAGTTATATATTTTTATTTATTTACAAGATACTACAAGCCTAAATTGTGACTCAAGTAGGAGTACATGTAAGGATTATACAGAGCTAGATTTCCAGATATGTACGATGCAATACAAGAGGGCGAGGGGAGCCGGTGAAAAAATTATGTATATATATAAAAAATGCAAACAAAAAGTTACACAAAACACACTAAAAATACCGGATATTACACAGTGCAAACAAAGGGGAAGGAGGGGGGTCGCGTAAAAAAATTATATATAACAGCATAAACACAAAAAATCCATGACAGCACATTACAATATTGTTAGTGTATTATTGCAAAATTATTTTAATCAATCGATCAATATTTATTTTTCCCTCGCGCTAACCAACAGTTCGAAAGCCTACTGGGTTAAGAATACACACTTGAAATGCACACTAAATAACACGCGTAAACTCTCGGGGTGCAAACTGCAAATTCGTATATAAAATATCACCGTAGAGAGTTGTGTAAAACATGGAAGCACAGAAGCATGTCGATATACCAATCAAAACGTGCATAAAAATTATTGTTCCCCAAAAGACAGGCTTGTTCTAAACATGTCGATGTCAGTAAATTGAATGTTTAAAACATGTTGGATACGCGAAGCCGGTGATTCATCTCGACTGAGGACTGGGTAAAATACTCTCAGATTTTTAGAGTTCTTTCTTGGTGGAATGAGAAAGTGAACAGCGGTATAAGGAGAGCAAGGCTGTCTATTGCATTAGGAATCAACCGATGTAAAAACTGAGCATCTCGAACAGCCTTCTTTTGCATAAAGTGCACGATGTTAGTTTGGCTAAACTCGAAGTATATTCATAAAAAAACATTTTCTACCAAAATATGTCTTAAGTGATGCGCTCAAATCGCTTTTCAATATGTTTTATAGCTTCACTCGCTTGTTCCAAAAAAAAAAAAACTGTTTTAAGGTGTTTTAGTGCATCATAGTGTTAGAATGAAGACTAGTCAAATATTATAAATACAATATGCAGTGAAGTACGGAATGCATAAATAAATACGAAAACATGCATTTAAATCAATTTGATACACAATGCAATGTACAGCGAAGTATAAGTATAGAGCATTCGTGCAAATTTACGATGAAGACAGATAATACCTATTGATGAAACCTGATTTATTATTGGGATATTAAGCGCTTAACATTTGCATTTAACTTGACGTCAATGCCTTTTCTGCTCTCGTTGAGTTGCTTAAGAGGGGGTCAATACGTTCAACGTACCTTTTGTGTTTCTAAAGATAGTTCCACCGTCTAACACTCTTTAAAAAAAAAAGGGAAAAAAAGGCGCTGACGTTTAATTTACATTCAGTTAGATTCCAAATCAACTTCATCACGGTCAAATCGCGGAAAGTTCATTATGACGCATACAACGTTCTCAGTGGAATAACCGCCCTGACAAGAATTGTTAATTGTATTTCATTTGCCATTCACCACTGTGACTAAGGATCCACTACAAACGAATAAGATTCACATACCTTATTTATACAGCGAGCTCTTTATTTAAGTGATACTACAATGAAGCATATGATCTCCTCAATGTCCATAGTCTCCGCCCCATATTTTAACATTAAGCCTGACTTTCAAATGGTGCGATTTTGCTTGCGAATACCGCGACGTCAAGCAACCGTGGAGGTACCCCCACGGATCAAGGTTATCTGGCGGGCCAGCTGGGTGAACATATTTTAATATGTGATAGCACGACACGGAGAGGTAATGTAAGGAGGGAGACAGGGAAGCTTACAACTGACGTTTGATACTATAGACAAAGAAAGACAAAAATTAAGTAGAGAGTACTATCATTAAAAAAGAAAGAAAAGAAAAGAAATTTATAGTGATTATATAAAATTAAAGATAAACCTCTTTCACCAAAACACGAAATTTTTGGAAACCATACATAAAGGTGGTTAAAAAAATCAAGGTAATTAAGTTCTTTCTGTAACAACGTCACTGGCTGGTGGAAACATCACCTCTGGACAACATGATTCGCGCCACGTACAGTTCTCAAGTTTTTTGGGTTTTTTTAATGCGTTTTAGGTGGTGTCGCGCCAAGCATAAGTATGCACTTGCAATTCATTACATGCACAGCGAGGTGTTCTGCTGGTGTCGACTTGAGTGTTAAAGCACATTTTCTCTTAAGCATTCATTCACACACCGTCCCAAATGTCCTGTACATACACTTTTCCGCGGGTAAACGGCATTTCATTATTCACACTCGACTGGCAGTCGACGTATTTGCGCTGATGTTGCATGCCGCATCTCGTCTGCTGAAGCTGATGGTTATTTATTTTCGGGCATAGTCTCTTTAATTTATCCGGTGCCGATAATACAACTGCACTTCAAGCTTTGAGGCTATCTTTATGTTGTGTGATAACGATGAATGTGCGGCACATTAACTGGCCAACGTTTCCTGTCCTTTTTTTTTTTTTTTGTCTCGTCTCATGTTTGTTGTGACTAGACATTCAGCGACGTCATATAGAATGGAGCTCGGTTAACCAGATGCCTGAAGTTTTTTAACTTGAGCATTAAAACTCCTCTCTAATGTATGGACATGGGATTTATTTAAGGACTCACGTATTTTTGCACGATTCCTACTTTGATGATCGTTGAATGGGTTGAGTCATGTTGCACCATAACCTTGTTAGATAGTGGGGAGTATTTACAGCAAAAATTGTATCACAAAACTCGTCTTAAGCCTCAATATTGTACGATGGAGTTTGTCGGTAACTCATTCGTAAATTTGAGACCTTGGCCTTCTTCAATGAAGATAAATCGTAGTGTTGATTGTGCGTGTTCCATTTTCATTAATGGTGAGGGAACAACTTAAATACTAAACGACTACGAAGAAAGAAGTTACACATACTTAAAGTAGATGACGATCTACCTCAACTGAAACCGGTAGTTTCATTTTCGTCCAGACGGTGTTGAAGGAAAACTAGGTAATCATCCACATATCTAAAGATATGTGATATTTGACTTTTAGAAAGTGCATTATTGCCCGATCACATAATGGGAGGAATATATCACAAACGACTTGTGCTACGCAAGATCCATTACGGATTCCTTCCTATTGTTGTTAGGACTTGCTTTCAAACGCCAGAACAGTGGCGGAAAGGAAGAACCGCAAAAGTTCTAGAAAGGACTTCCCATGAATTCCACATTGATTTTGAAAAGAAGTATGACCATTGATCTCAA